CCATGATGATGATTTAATATGGACAGAATCTTCTGATTCCACCAATGCTTCAGATACAGAATCCTCCAATTCATTCGAAGATAATGATTGTCGTTGTCCAATATCAACACATAATGTGCACACACTTACCCAAGAAGATAATTTCATCTTCGATATTATTGATAAAATTATTGATCCAGATGAAAAAAGAGCTATCATTACTTAATTTATTGCTATTACAAAAAATAAAGCAAAATCACTTCCTATCAATAAAACTCCGGACGAATATAATTTTTCCTCCATAATGAAAAGAGTAAGTGATCAACACACTTCTCAACAAAAAGAACCTACCATTTCAGATCTTAAGAAAGAAATCAAAGAAATAAAGACTGAAATAGTTCAATTAAAAACTCGAATTAAATCATTGGAATTACAACAAATGTTTCAACAAGATTCAGACACAAATGAAATAGAATTTGATGAATTAATGAAATATGATTTACAACCATCATCAGATATCCCTGAATCTTCAAAAGCTAAAATAGTACCTATTCCCTCTTTTAATCTAATAGACAAAACAGTAATACAAAAATGGTTTGTCCAAGTCAAAATTATTGTTGCTAACGATTATAGTTTTGACACACCAGCTCTCATAGATTCTGGTGCTGATTTGAATTATATCAATGAAGGACTTGTACCTTCAAAATATTTTGACAAGACTACTCAAATATTAAATACAGCAGATGGAAGTAGATTATTTATCAAATATAAATTATCCAATGCTTCTGTTTGTAACAATCACCAATGCATTGATACACCATTCATAATGGTAAAAGGATTAAGCCAATCAGTAATTTTAGTAGTTCCATTCCTTACTTTGTTATATCCTTTAACCATAGATGAAACAGGAATATCTTCAACTATTCAAAATATTCCAATACATTTTAATTTTATCCATAAATCAAAAGTAAAAGAATTAAATAATGTGAAAAGTCAATTAAGGGACAAAGAAAGATTTCTTTGTACTCTTAAACAAGAAATTAAATATAAGGTAATTGAAGAACAATTACAAATTCCTTCAATACAACAAAAGATCCAAACATTACAACAACATATAGAAACTTCAATATGTAGTGAGCATCCCAATGCTTTTTGGGAAAGAAAGAAGCACAGTATCAGTTTACCATATGAACAAGGATTTGATGAAAAATAAATACCTACTAAAGCTAGACCAATACAAATGAATACTATTCTATTAGATATGTGTAAAAAAGAGATTAATGATCTTCAAAATAAAAAGCTTATAAGACCAAGCTCCTCACCTTGGAGCTGTGCAGCCTTTTATGTTAATAAAAATGCTGAAAAGAAACGAGGAGTTCCTAGGCTTGTTATTAATTATAAACCTTTGAATAAAGTCTTAAAATGGATTAGATATCCTATTCCCAATAAAAAAGACTTATTAGATAGAGTTGCTCAAGCATGTATCTTTTCTAAATTTGATATGAAATCAGGATACTGGCAAATACAAATTCAAGAACAAGATAAATACAAAACTGCATTTAATTTTGCATTTGGTCAATATGAATGGAATGTTATGCCCTTTGGTCTCAAAAATGCTCCATCAGAATTCCAGAAAATAATGAATGATGTTTTTAATGCCTATCATCATTTTATGAATGTTTATATTGATGAGGTGTTAATACTCTCTGAATCAATCGAACAACATATTAAACACATTAATACTTTTATACATGCAGTCTAGAATGCTGGATTAGTTGATTCAGCTAAAAAGATAACCTTATTTAAAACTAATATTCGCTTTCTTGGTCATATGATCCATCATGGAACCATTATTCCCATAGATAGATCAATACAATTTGCAGATAAGTTTCCTGATCAAATACTTCATAAAAAAGAACTTCAAAGGTTCCTAGGTTGTTTGAATTATATTAGTGATTTTTATCCTAACCGTACTTTAGATTCTAAACCTTTATATGATAGACTCAAAAAGAATCCTCCACCATGGACCGATAGTCATACCAAGGCAGTACAGGTAAACAAAAGTAAGGTAAAGACACTCGAATGTCTCTCCCTTCCCCATCCAACTGCTTTTAAAAAAATAGAATGTGATGCTTCTGATAAAGGTTTAGGTGGCATTCTCAAACAAAAAATAGATTCTCAAGAACAATTACTTCGTTATACTTCAAGAGCCTGGAATACTGCCCAATTAAATTATTCCATGGTCAAAAAGGAACTATTAGCTATAGTTCATTGTGTTACTAAATTTCAAAGTGATATTTTAAATCAACATTTCTTAATACGAACTGACTGCAAAGCAGCCAAAGATATCTTGCAAAAAGATGTTCAAAATTTGGTTTCTAAACAAATATTTGCTCGTTGGCAGGCCATACTCTCTGCCTTTGATTTTTCTATCGAACATCTTCTCGGGTCTTCCAATTCACTCCCTGATTTTTTAACCCGTGAATTTTTGCAGGGGGGGCAACACTGACTCTAACGACGAACAGCCCTTATATCTTGCATTGGAACTGTTTGAAGAAAATAAGAATATTAATATTTCACCTTTACTTTCACCTATCAATATGGGTTCTCGAGATACTCCTCGCAGAGATAAACAACCCATGACCAGTAAAATAATACCATGTGAAGGAGAACAACCGCCTTTGGCAATCCGTTCACCTTCCCACTCTCCTGTCCATCAAATTACCTATTCTGAAGCTACGGCTTCAAAACCCATATATTCTCCAGCACAAAGAAAATCTGCTACTCCATCTAATATACCCAAATCTGTCTATATTGAAAGAGCCTATCTCATGGATATTACTATCGATGAGAAACATATAAACACTGAACCCATAAAACTTGCTCCTCTTTATCTACTCAACCATCTTAACCCTTCTAATGGGGATAAAACAAGAGAATACTTTGAAGCAATATTAATGGAAACATGATCTGTTTCTATAGTCCATTATTATCAACAAAATACTCGGACTATTGCATATTCTAAAGTCCAGATCAAAAATATACTTTCCTATGAAGAGTGGGGTTGTAATCCCGCGCATGGAAAGAAACTTCAAAATCCAGATTTTTCATATAAATATTTCAAGTATGCCGAATACATTGAGGCATGGCACAAATTTTTATATTATCAAAATCCCAATTATACTCATAGCTGGTATATCCAGTTTAGACTACCTATTTCAGAAAGATTCCCCACCTGGTTTAAAAACTGGTTTTTTGTGTGGGGTTTAACTTCTCACATTTTACCTCCTGCCTTTAAAACAGTGCAGGAAAAGTTCCAAGTATATAACCAGAGCGATAACACCATAGACAGTCACCTCTATTTTATGGCTTTATACCAGATACCTTGGATAATGAAATGGGAATATACCATCTCCCCTGATACCACCTCTGATTACACATACATACCTAGACTTAGAAAGACCATTTCAGTAAAATGGTGGGACATCTTTAATATGGACCCATCCTCACTCACTCCAAAAAGAATTCCTCAAAAAGCCCTAGAAAAACCCCAAAGCCAGAATACAGCCAATACTTCTTTTGACTTTCCCACATACCTAAAAAATATGCTGCAATCAAACCCTAATGCCTCAAAAGAGACATTAGAAAAACAGATGAAACAAATATTTGCTGAAGCAGGGAGAAAGCCAGTCTCTTCTGAAGAAACAGTGCAATCCTCTCCCTTGCATACCAATCAATACCTCAATCTCCCGATGGAAGATCCGGAAGAAGAAACTAATCCAGACGTAGACGATCCGGATGAGTTCAGTCAAAGACCATAAAGCACATTCAATCACCATCAAAATATTGTCAATAGTCCACCAAAAAAGAAGATTCCCTTCTAATCTCATCACCGACATAAAGAATCCCTTTCAATCTCATCACCGACAACCTACTGTACAGAGATTTTGCATCGACACAACAAGACAAGAAAAGAATTGTGGCACCGACACAACAGGACAAAATAAGCACTATGCCAGATGCTTTCACTGTGGCCATCATCAGAAAAAGACAAACAATACTGTAGCAGATGCTTTCCTTTTTGTCGTTTTTTATTTTGTTTTTATCCCTTTATGTCAAGTCACTTACCTTTACGTCTCATCTCCTACCTTTATGTCCCCTCTTCTTTGCTTCAAGCCGAAGGAACCTTCTCTATATAAGGCCGACCTCTTCTTTCTCCAACCAAGGTCGCACCATCTGCTCTAAGGTCGAAACCTCCCTCCTCTCTTAAGAGGTCTCCTCCTCATCTCTTCTCTTCTCATACCTTCACTCAGAACCTCTCTTCTTCTTCTGAAATTTCTCTTTCTCCCCTGAGCCACCAAGGTTGCTCCTTCCTTCACACCTTCTTCATCCTGCTCGACAGACCAGAACACTTCATACATCCAACAATATCAGCTACTATGACCTCGTAGCCAAAAATATTCCAGATTCAATAAACTCTCCTTTTTTGAATATGTGTGACTGCAATTTTCCTTCCCTTCCGTCATATTGCCCAAATAACTTGAAATTATTTTCGAGCTATTGTATATGCACTCAGTGAGTCTTCATCTTCATAATCCTCTTTTGTTTCTTTTATTTGATACTCTTTCCTGCCTTCCCTTTAATCTTTATGATTCCGATTTTTTCTGCTTTTCCAGTCATTTATATTTCAGTTGTTTATATTTCTGTAAAAAGTGTGCCAGTGTGCTAAGACTGTAACAATGTGCTATAAATTCTGAATAAAGCTTTATTATGAATATTTTATTATGCAATTTAAAATATTGTTTAGTGTAAAAATTCGAGAATTTACATATGCTCAATGGTTAGTGATAGATGTTTCTATAATTCCTTTTATTTGCTTAATATTATTTGTACTCAATTATTATAGGATCTTGCAAGAATTAATAAGATATAATAGCATCTTATTCACTTATTTACTCTAAAAACATATCACTGAAACAAGTTCAAATTATATGCAAAAATAGTCCAGAATATACAAAAATTCAAAGAATTAAGTTCATAAAGACAGTACTGTAGATCCGGGCCAAAGTTGGTATCAGAGCCAAACAGTAAAACTGTCAAGCCAACAGTAGAACTGTCCAACAGTGAAACTGTGTAAACAGTTAAACTGTCACAACAGTAAAACTGTTCTTTTTACAACATAAGCTGTAAGAGATAAAAGTTACATTCTTACTAAAGATACTAAGTTAGATTTACATCCCAAAAAGTTGGTCCGAGAGTTAAGACAAGAGACAAGTGAAAGCCTATTGCAAAGTACCGCCAAGGCCAAGAAGAGCCGCTTAGGGAAAAACGCTGGGCCACTGAATGTCCAGATTGTCATTATCCGCAACCTACGGATGGCAAATCTAATAAGGAATCTTACAAGTAAAACTGCAACTTCATCTCAAAAACTTAGAGAACAAACTATCATCAATGATATTGAGGAAAATATCCAAAATTGGAATATATCCAAAGTACCAATCCATGACTATTGATTGAGGTTGTGCAGGCTCATCCTTAACTGGGATAGTTGCTTTGAGTATTAGACTTTTTTCAGGAGGGTGTATACTAGCTGTGGTAGTACCATCCGTGCTGATATAAGTTTTCTCTTCTATTGTTTGAATATTATCAAATGAAGGAATAGTAATATTATATTCAATACATACTTCTTTTAACCATATAAAAAATCATTTATTCAATCTTTCTTTTTGAAGGAATTTATTATATTTTTTATGCATTAATTCTATTAATTTAGGTTGAAATGTTTTTAAATACCATTCTCGAATATGTTTATTTTCTTCAAATAAATAATCCTTTCTGATAAAATTTTTATTTAATTTTCTCCTTTTTCTTTCTAATTTAGCTGCTAAATAGGCTGCTATATATTGATCAGAATATTGATCATATGAATTTATGTCTTCTTCTATATCATCTTCTATTTGTAGAGTTAATATTTGGAAATCTTCTATACTGGGTTTAGGAGTATTTGCTATACTGGATTCAGGAGTATATGTGGGAATAACAACATGATCTGTTGTTCTTCGTGTTTCTTGGAATAGTAAATCTGAACTAGGTATTGATGAAGAAGATTGAGTAGGCGGAGGTAATATTATAACATTTAGATTATTCGAATAAGATTTTCTACTTGGTATTTTATTCCTTATATTTCTTTTCTTATTAATATTAATATCATCTTGAACTTGTAACTGTTGAAATTTTATTTCAATATTACCATCAGGATGTTCTATTATTTGGTTCGGAATATGATTTTGAGGAATTTCTTGTGGTTGATTGGCATGTTGTAATGCCCATGACTGTGGTAGAATAATATCTGACCATTTTATTGTTTTAGGAACAATCATATTAGATTTTTCTATATTTGTTTGGAATAAGATAGTTTGATCTTTTTGATCAATTTTCATGATATTTGGACATAAGGTATTCATGACCTTGTAGTATATTCTATAAACTATTGCTAAATTTTGGGAACCATGGATCATATTAAAACCATGTGTTTTTAAATTTATTGTTAATATGTCTAGAATATCTGGGTCCGTCAAAGAAACAGAAAAATTAGGAAAACAATTAAAATATATGGGACCACTACAGAGGCTGGATTCAACCATGCCAAGTAGCGAGTCTGTGAAAATATTGTGTCTTGTATCTCTTAAGCATACAAGCACAGAGGTGTTCAACCCTAATCGGGTCAAAGGTTTCACGGCTATTTGGATTAAACCGATATGTAAATATTTGTAATTAATTTCTTTATGTTTTTCAATAACTTTCTTTGAGAGTAGTTGAAAGTCTTCTTGATTTTGAGTAACCGATAGACTTTTTTGTTTGAGAATGCCACCTAAACCTCTATCAGAAGCATCACATTCTATTATTTTAAAAGCAGTTGGATGGGGAAGGGAGAGATATTCGAGTGTCCTTACCTTACTTTTGATTACCTGTACTGCCTTGGTATGACTATCGGTCCATGGTGGAGAATTCTTTTTGAGTCTATCATATAAACGTTTAGAATCTAAAGCAAGGTTAGGATAAAAATCACTAACATAATTCAAACAACCTAGGAACCTTTGAAGTTCCTTTTTATCAAGTATTTGATCAGGAAACTTATCTGCAAATTGTATTGATCTATCTATGGGAATAATGGTTCCATGATGGATCATATGACCAGATCTTAAGAAAGAAATCAAAGAAATAGAGACTGAAATAGTTCAATTAAAAACTCGAATTAAATCATTGGAATTACAACAAATGTCTCAACAAGATTAAGACACAGATGAAATAGAATTTGATGAATTAATGAAATATGATTTACAACCATCATCAGATATCCCTGAATCTTCAGAAGCTAAAATATAACGAAGTAATTGTTCTTGAGAATCTATTTTTTGTTTGAGAATGCCACCTAAACCTTTATCAGAAGCATCACATTCTATTATTTTGAAAGCAGTTGGATGGGGAAGGGAGAGACATTCGAGTGTCTTTACCTTACTTTTGATTACCTGTACTGCCTTGGTATGACTATCGGTCTATGGTGGAGGATTCTTTTTGAGTCTATCATATAAAGGTTTAGAATCTAAAGCAAGGTTAGGATAAAAATCACTAACATAATTCAAACAACCTAGGAACCTTTGAAGTTCCTTTTTATCAAGTATTTGATGAGGAAACTTATCTGCAAATTGTATTGATCTAACTGTAGATCCGGGCCGAAGTTGGTATCAGAGCCAAACAGTAAAACTGTCAAGCCAATAGTAGAACTGTCCAACAGTGAAACTGTGTAAACAGTTAAACTGTCACAACAGTAAAACTATTCTTTTTACAACATAAGCTGTAAGAGATAAAAGTTACATTCTTACTAAAGATACTAAGTTAGATTTACATCCCAGAAAGTTGGTCCGAGAGTTAAGACAAGAGACAAGTGAAAGCCTATTGCAAAGTACCGCCAAGGCCAAGAAGAGCCGCTTAGGGAAAACGCTGGGCCACTGAATGCCCAGATTGTCATTATCCGCAACCTACGGATGGCAAATCTAATAAAGAATCTTACAAGTAAAACTGCAACTTCATCTCAAAAACGTAGAGAACAAATTATCATCAATGATATTGAGGAAAATATCCCAAATTGGAATATACCCAAAGTACCAATCCATGACATTTATAATAAAGGATCATTCAAATTCAAGATGGGTTATGCCATCAAGACAGTAGAAGTAAGTCTATCGGTTATTCAAAATCAAGAAGACTTTCAACTACTCTCAAAGAAAGTTATTGAAAAACATAAAGAAATTAATTACAAATATTTACATATCGGTTTAATCCAAATAGCCGTGAAACCTTTGACCCGATTAGGATTGAACACCTCTGTGCTTGTATGCCTAGGAGATACAAGACACAATATTTTCATAGACTCGCTACTTGGCATGGTTGAATCCAGCCTCTGTAGTGGTCCCATATATTTTAATTGTTTTCCTAATTTTTCTGTTTCATTGACGGACCCAAATATTCTAGACATATTAACAATAAATTTAAAAACACATGGTTTTAATATGATCCATGGTTTCCAAAATTTAGCAATAGTTTATAGAATATACTACAAGGTCATGAACACCTTATGTCCAAATATCATGAAAATTGATCAAAAAGATCAAACTATCTTATTCCAAACAAATATAGAAAAATCTAATATGATTGTTCCTAAAACAATAAAATGGTCAGATATTATTCTACCATAGTCATGGGCATTACAACATGCCAATCAACCACAAGAAATTCCTCAAAATCATATTCCGAACCAAATAATAGAACATCCTGATGGTAATATTGAAATAAAATTTCAACAGTTACAAGTTCAAGATGATATTAATATTAATAAGAAAAGAAATATAAGGAATAAAATACCAAGTAGAAAATCTTATTGGAATAATCCAAATGTTATAATATTACCTCCGCCTACTCAATCTTCTTCATCAATACCTAGTTCAGATTTACTATTCCAAGGAACACGAAGAACAACAGATCATGTTGTTATTCCCACATATACTTCTGAATCCAGTATAGCAAATACTTCTGAACCCAGTATAGAAGATTTTCAAATATTAACTCTACAAATAGAAGATGATATAGAAGAAGATAAATTCATATGATCAATATTCTGATCAATATATAGCAGCCTATTTAGCAGCTAAATTAGAAAGAAAAATGAGAAAATTAAATAAAGATTTTATCAGAAAGGATTATTTATCTGAAGAAAATAAACATATTCGAGAATGGTATTTAAAAACATTTCAACCTAGATTAATAGAATTAATGCATAAAAAATATAATAAATTCCTTCAAAAAGAAAGATTGAATAAAGGATTTTTTATATGGTTAAAAGAAGTATGTATTGAATATAATATCACTATTCCTTCATTTGATAATATTCAAACAATAGAAGAGAAAACTTATATCAGCACGGATGATACTACCACAGCTAGTATACACCCTCATGAAAAAAGTCTAATACTCAAAGCAACTATCCCAGTTAAGGATGAGCCTGCACAACCTCAATCAATATATGATATAGTAGCCACTCCTTATAAAATCTTACCCAAAGAGCTTGGTAAGAAACAAGAATTGATTCCTCATATAGTGGAACAAAATAATTATACAAATCTATATATGCAATCGTTAGGTAGACAAGCAGAAAGAATAGAAAGACTTGTTTCTACAAAACAACCTTCTACTACACCTATACCTAAATCAGTTTTGTTCAAACCACCTCCAGAATTAAATAAAAATAAGTTCCATAAATCCCTAATGGATCAATTAATATCAAAATTATCCCAATTAGATATTAAAGGAATATCTTCTCCCAAAAAAAATATTCCACCTCCAACTATTCTCAATCCACTACCTGAATCGTCTGATAAAGGCAAAGCAATATTACCGCCTGAGCATGAGACAATGATGCTTCAGGAAGAAGAACCAATTATAGAAGATACTATCCAAAATCAAGAAAAAGCATTTAAGGATACTACTCCTATGTCTGAAACTATAAACAGAATAACATATGGAAAATATTGGAAACCAATAACAGCTTTACCATATCACAAAAGACCTACACCTGTTGATATTCAAATGGAAGAAGATGCCATACAACAGGCAGTGTCATATTCAGGAAGATCAATAGTGAATTGGCAAATAGATGGATTATCCGAATTAAAAAGATTATATGTCATGAGACATATGACAATGTATGCTTCTGCAAATAAAATGGCAGGCAACCCTGATCAAGAGGTTACAAAAGCAATAGTTAATGGATTTACTGGCTGGTTACGAGGATGGTGGGATTTCTATGTCGATGATGAAACTAAACATAGAATCCTAAATAATACAAGACAATGGACCGCCAGAAATGAACAAAACCAAAAAATAATTTATACAGAAAGTGATGCTGTTAATACTCTAATATATACCATTACACTCCACTTTGTAGGCAGTACAGCTTTACTAGCAGCAAGATCGGAGGATCTGCTATCTAATCTACGTTGTCCAACCCTATCTCATTATAAATGGTATAAAGATGTATTTTTCTCAAGATTATTAATAAGAGAAGATTGTCAGCTAGACCACTGGAAAGAAAAGTTTATAGCTAGTCTCCCATATTTATTTGCTGAAAAAGTCAAGAAAAGACTGAGGAAAAAACATAATGGAATTATTGTTTATTCATCATATACACTCGGAGAACTCTCCGCAGAAATATGTGCTGAAGGTTTAGCTTTATGCACAGATATGAAATTAAAAAGACAATTGGATAAACAAAAAAACACTAAGCGCAAAGAGCTTGGTGACTTTTGTGAACAGTTTGGTTATTACCTTGATAAGAAAAATATGCCTGACAATTTATACAAGAAAAAGAAAAAATATAAAAAGGAAAAATATAAATCCAAAAATAAAGAGAAAGATAGGAAATACTATAAAAAGACTAAAAGAAAACTAATCAATAAATTTTCTCCCAATACAAAGAAAAAGAGAAAGTTACCTGTGTGCTATAAGTGTGGTAAAGTAGGACATTATAAGCACCAATGTAAATTAACAAAGAAAATACAATAATTAAATATAGATGATACAACAAAATCAAAATTATATAATATATTTAATTATGATTCTTCATCTTCTACTTCTACTGAGTCCCACATAGATCAAATCCATGATGATGATTTAATATGGACAGAATCTTCTGATTCCACCAATGCTTCAGATACAGAATCCTCCAGTTCATTCGAAGATAATGATTGTCGTTGTCCAATATCAACACATAATGTGCACACACTTACCCAAGAAGATAAATATCGAACATCTTCCCGGGTCTTCCAATTCACTCCCTAATTTTTTAACCCGTGAATTTTTGCAGGGGGCAACACTGACTCTAACGACGAACATCCCTTATCTCTTGCATTGCAACTGTTCGAAGAAAATAAGAATATTAATATTTCACCTTTACTTTCACCTATCAATATGGGTTCTCGAGATACTCCTCGCAGAGATAAACAACCCATGACCAGTAAAATAATACCATATGAAGGAGAACAACCGCCTTTGGCAATCCGTTCACCATCCCACTCTCCTGTCCATCAAATTACCTATCCTGAAGCTACTGCTTCAAAACCCATATATTCTCCAGCACAAAGCAAATCTGCTACTCCATCTAATATACCCAAATCTGTCTATATATTGAAAGAGCCTATCTCATGGATATTACTATCGATGAGAAACATATAAACACTGAACCCATAAAACTTGCTCCTCTTTATCTACTCAACCATCTTAACCCTTCTAATGGGGTTAAAACAAGAGAATACTTTGAAGCAATATTAATGGAAACAGGATCCGTTTCTGAAGTCCATTATTATCAACAAAATACTCGGACTATTGCATATTCCAAAGTCCAGATCAAAAATATACTTTCCTATGAAGAGTGGGGTTGTAATCCCGCGCATGGAAAGAAACTTCAAAATCCAGATTTTTCATATAAATATTTCAAGTATGCCGAATGCATTGAGGCGTGTCACAAATTTTTATATTATCAAAATCCCAATTATACTCATAGCTGATATATCCAGTTTAGACTACCTATTTCAGAAGGATTCCCCACCTGGTTTAAAAACTGATTTTTTGTATGGGGTTTAACTTCTCACATTTTACCTCCTGCCTTTAAAACAGTGCAGGAAAAGTTCCAAGTATATAACCAGAGCGATAACACCATAGACAGTCACCTCTATTTTATGGCTTTATACCAGATACCTTGGATAATGAAATGGGAATATACCATCTCCCCTGATACCACTTCTGATTACACATACATACCTAGACTTAGAAAGACCATTTCAATAAAATGGTGGGACATCTTTAATATGGACCCATCCTCACTCACTCCAAAAAGAATTCCTCAAAAAGCCCTAGAAAAACCCCAAAGCCAGAATACAACCAATACTTCTTTTGACTTTCCCACATACCTAAGAAATATGCTGCAATCAAACCCTAATGCCTCAAAAGAGACATTAGAAAAACAGATGAAACAAATATTTGCTGAAGCAGGGAGAAAGCCAGTCTCTTCTGAAGAAACAGTGCAATCCTCTCCCTTGCATACCAATCAATACCTCAATCTCCCGATGGAAGATCCGGAAGAAGAACTGATCCAAACGAAGACGATCCGGATGAGTTCAGTCAAAGACCATAAAGCACATTCAATCACCATCAAAATATTGTCAATAGTCCACCAAAAAAGAAGATTCCCTTCTAATCTCATCACCGACATAAAGAATCCCTTTCAATCTCATCACCGACAACCTACTGTACAGAGATTTTGCATCGACACAACAAGACAAGAAAAGAACTGTGGCACCGACACAACAAGACAAAATAAGCACTATGCCAGATGCTTTCACTGTGGCCATCATCAGAAAAAGACAAACAATACTGTAGCAGATGCTTTCCTTTTTGTCGTTTTTTATTTTGTTTTTATCCCTTTATG